TTCTGCAAATTACTTCATCGAAAGAAAAAGTCACCAAAAGATTGTTATAGTCAAGGTCGAAAAGCTTTTGAAATACACCTTAGGCTCTCATATAGTTAATACTGAGCGTTTCCATTTTTGGTTTGAAAATAAATAATAATATTTGCGAGTACCTGAGTAAAGTAGGTGATTTAGGTTACAAAAGAGATTAAGCGATGACAGGACCTTGAAGAAATATGAAATGAGGAAATAAATCCGTTCCCATGACAGTCGGGTTTACGTAACCGAAACGGTCCCAGATTTTTATGCGAATGACTTTCAACTCGTCAAAACTCTGCCGCTACATCAACAACAACAACTACCTTGAGGAAATATATATATATATTTTTCAAGTTAACTATAAAATGTTACTCTGTTATGAACAAATACATCGAAAAATAAATAGAAATAATTGCCAAAAATTAGCCTCAGATATTTTTCAAAAATATTAATATGATAACTCAACATGAGTATATGGCGAAACAGAGTCTGAAAATGCATGGAAGGCGTTTCTAACCTTTTGCGCCACGTTTCGTGTATTTTACAGTACAATAATCTGTCCATAATTAATACAAAATATGAAGCAACTATAAAAATAAAAGTCAAAGTCGCCAATGGTAACTGTTGCCATTGGATAAAAAGCCATTCCATTTGACTTGATTTCAAAGCATTAAATCCTGCACTCACTATTAGGTTTAGTCATGAATACTTACTAAGGCTCAACTATTATTATTGCTTATATATACAATATATATATACATATATTAGAGCGGATAGATTTTTATACTCTTGCACTAATCAAAAGCCCATTGAACAGGATGAAACTTTTCATTAATAATTTATTTAAAGTATACCACCTTCAGACCAAAATTTGCACAACTACCATAAAACCTGCTCAAGCCCTCAAATACCGAAAATAATCATTATCTGACAATGATATGCCGTATGTCAAAAATGGGTTGAATCTGGTCAATACTTCCTTGAGCCTCCATATAACTAATACAAAGATTTTTCAATTACGGGGTGACAATAAACCGCATATTTTGGCCAATAAGTGAGTTATCTAAATTAAGAGCGAGATGAGAACATATTTTACTCATAACAGAGCCTTTGTGCCGAAAAAGGATAAAATAGGGGGAAACCTTGACTAGCACCTATATAACTGATATCAGAATTTTCGAACATCCGGCTGACTTTACTCCATATGATTGGTGATTATATATGGGAGATACCTTAATGAAACCAAGGGAACATTGTTTTAGTCTTTTGCTTGTTAACTGTTTATAGTAAAGGCAAAAATAGTTAAATTCGGAAAAGTTGTTCGGATCATTCTGAATAACTTTGCCAACTATTGCACCAAACAATATAAATATTTATTTTATCCCTATTACTATTAATCCAATTCTATAATGCAATTCTGTGGGTTTTTGGCTCTGTTAAACTCCGCTGGTTGTTGTCCAAGCTTTAAATTTGGTTGTGTGCATTGATAAAATAACAATCAGCCGAAGAATTTTAATCACAAGAACAAATAGAAAGTGAAGAACACAAGCAAGATAAGCTAATAGCTTATCGTTGATCGAGTAGCCGGCTTCTCGGAAGCCAACAACTGGTTTCTTAATTATAGTTTCAATGTAGTAAATGAATATGGCTGGGTGAGAAAGCTGTAAGAGACTATGAGTTAAAAGCTGGTTTCAAAGCAGCGATTTTTAAGGCGAAGTTTAAAGAATTTAATAACAGGTTGTATAGGAGATGTATTTTGTAATTGTAGGATCTGACTGATTCTGACAAATGGGCTATGGAATATCAAAAAACAGGTACTTATTAAATTTCAATCAGATATTTGAAAAACTGAAACAAATTTAAATAAATTTCGCCTAAAGCATTGCTGGCACAAAACTGGTTTTAAACCCTTAATTTCTTAGGCCAACTTAGTCAGAATGATCCGCAACGCGATTATTCTATTTTTCCATATTTTTTTTTTTTTTTTTGGCTCCCTGTAAATTAACCCGCTCTAATATAAAAATATATTTATACATATACAGCTGTACTCACGTAAATATGTATTTGTTTGTATACATTTACATGCTAACAAGAAGCTGATGACAGCGCAACATTCCGACTAAGAATTATACAAATTAGCCGAGCTCCCGCTGTGGTCACCATTGGCGCAATGCAGCCTTGCGGTTGAACAGATGGTTTGGCTCAGCGCAGCGCAGCTTGGCAAAAAAAATGTCACAATAACAAACACACACACACAGTGGAAGCATTAAAAGCAGCAGCGCAAAGTGGAAGCAATGCTGTGCAACAACAACAAATAATATAATACAGAAAGTGAAAGTAAAGCAAAAAAGTGCAGAAACAGCGAAATAAGTTTAGAAAGCAAGAACAATGTCTCAGACAGCGCAAACACACGCGTGTGAAAGCTATGCTCCTCGTCCACCCGCCGACTTACTTACAGTACAAAACAAACGCTCTTTAACCAGCTATTTATACTAGCGTAAACCTACCTACCACAACATTTTTTTGCTGCACACAATTATTCACGCCAATTTACGCACGTTACCACTGTATTTTTAGTTGCTTTGCTTTAATTTTCCCTTTCCACGCAAATTAAATTTCCATTGAATTTCGTTCAATTTTTTCACATATTTTCTTCAATTGTCACATAACATGACACATGAGGAGCTTTAAACAATTTTTGCTTAACTTTTCTTGGCTTGTCACTCACTCCCGTCACCGGCCACGAAACGCACAAGAACGACGGTTCAGCTTCCGTTCGCTGCGAATACCGCAAATGGACTAATTTCTTTTAGTGAAATTGGGTGTCACTTTTAGTATTTACCTTTCATTTAATTTTTTCCCTTTTTCAATCATATTTTCATTATGCATGCGTATGTGTGTGTGTTTGATTGTTGTAAACAATACCTGCGCATTGCCACCGCCTTTGTAATTTCCGTTGTTGTTCATATGCAAACACCGTGTATCCGGCAGCGGTGAAACTTTTAACCCGCAGAGCTTTAGCAGAGACACATACCTTAATAAAGACAGGGTGTGCTTGAAGGGCAATCTCTTTTAAGTTTTTTTATGGAGTGAAATTTTCGCGAAATTTTTTTCGAATAGTTATAAACGAAAAATAAACTTCTTCATCTATGTCCTTAAGGATTGCATCTCAAAGACCTGTGTGAAATTTCATGAAGATCGTTTGAGTAGTTCTCGAGAAATTTTGCCAAGCGCATTCAAGGACACAGTTTCGAGAAACGCGTTTAAAGACGGCGCACTTAGTCTAGCTTGTCTCGAGCGCACTAGTTTTTAAAGCTGTAGCTCTGAAACTATTACTCAGAACAACTCGAAAATTTAAGAAATTTGTGGTATTTAAGCCTAATGGGAAAATATGATTTTTTTTTTAAATGGTTATCATTTCCGAACGCAAATCCTTTCTCAAAATCCGTCAGGTTGTGGTTTGAGACAGTCCAATCTTTGAGAACGTTTGGGAATCGACAAATTGTGGTCTGTAGCAACACTTGCCTAAACGACAGCAATTTTTTTATTGCTTCGAGCGGTTCTTTGTCTTACTGGCATTTGAACATTATATAAAGAATATGTACACTTGATATTTTCACCAATTCGAAGTATAACGAGCACAGACGAGCACTTATTACGACCATAAAATAGTGAAAGAACACAAAAAACACAATCGGAGAACGAATATTTTGATAATAAAATTGAACAATTTGTAGGCGTTGTTCTCGCATACAGGGTTTGTCCGGAAAGTAATGGGACTGAGTCGATTAAAAAAAAATTGATTGGACCAATCTTTGCAATTCTCTAAACACTCTCAAAATAGGCTCCTTTCGCATCGATGCAGCGCTGCCAGCGGGATTTCCAAGCATTGAAGGCATCACAGAAAGCTTTCTCCGGAATAGCCTTGAGAGCCAAGGTGCATGCTGCTTGGATTCCCTCTGTCGTCTCAAGGAAAAGAAAGATTTGATCTTTGTCTCTGGGTCATACTCAAAGATCCATGATTCGTCAACTGTGCATTACATTATTCAAAAATTGTGGGTTACTTTCACTCATGCTCAAATCTTCTTCGCACACTTCCACTCGCCGCAATTTCTGGTCGTCAGTGAGCACTTTTGGGACCATTTTCGCGAACATCTTGCGCATGTTCAAGAGATACGTCACAATGTCATGAACCGCTAATTTTGATAAATTTATCATCTGGATAATTAAACAAATACTTAGTCGACGGTCTAAGTTCAAAACTTGTTCGTACACGAGCCACATTGTCAGTGTTTGTCGAAGTCGCAGGTCTCCCAGCACGGTCTTCATCAGCGATCTCTTCCTGGTAATCCAAAACACACGACTTCTTGCTAAAGCAACATCTGGGTAAGCCTGCTTGATCATATCAAACGGCTCTGTCGCAGATTTACCGAGTTTCACACAGAACCTAATCGCGTATCTTTGCTCTAATGAACGCTGCATTTTCGGCTTGCACCACTCACAGAAACACGTTGCCCGGAATTGTTTGTCCTTACTCTCCTTGTGCTCGAAAACAACTGACCAGCCGCTCGTTTTTTAGCTAAAAACGCACTCTACCGAATCTAGTGGGTGCGCGCAGTCGCGACGGAAGCAAATCAGTCCTATTACTTTTCGGTTAAACCCTGTACATCTTTCCATGATTCTTCTATCTGAGGTTTGCGCAGGTCTTTTTCTCCCCTAGAAACTGCTGTAATATCGGAATTATTATCCAAGCCAAAGGTAAAATCCGCGAACAAACTTTAGTGAGCTTGGTAAGACAGATGTTTTCGTACGTCTCTCTGTATGTCGTGGAATGATGTAAGACCTCTGACACATGCTTCGTTTTGGAGTCATTGTGTAGAATATTCGCCAATTAGAAATTTACAAATCAACTATAACTCTAATACTTTATCATTAAATATACAATTTTTTATTTATAAAATAATGTTATTAAAGCTTTATAAAATATTTTGCTTACAATAGTAGCACTAATGGCAGTTAATGGTTTCGTTGATCACATTGATGGCGAGAATTTTTCATGAATTCATTTGAGTAAATAATTGCTAAAACTAATGACTTSATATACCTATAATAACATATATAATAARTTAACTCTTTACATTACGATATATACAGTGGCATCTTAGTACCGCATACGCCAAGAATTCTTTATCATATCGGCCGCCTTCTCTGCAATCATTATCGCAATAGCATTCGTATGTCCAGCCGGTATGGTAGGCATAATCGAAGCATCGACCACACGCAGATGTTTTATGCCGTGTACACGTAACTGTGGATCCACTACTGCAGCAGCATCTGATGGTGGACCCATTTTACAAGTACCCACTTGATGCTGCAAACTGGAACCGTAACGACGCAGACAACATTTCCAATAAGCCTTACTGTGTAAGGTCAGATGCTCACAGCCCAGAAACGGTTTCGCATTGAATGTGGTGCCGAGACGACGCATAGCTTTTGTTTGTGTGATTTGAAAAATCTGCAAGCAAATTTAGTTATAACAGTGCATTAATGAATCGCGCGACAAGACAACTTGCCATTTGTACACCCTCCAACATAGCACGTATATCATCGGGATCTTGCATATAGTTTGGCTCCATGCGTGGCCAATGAAAAGGATTAGTGCTGCGCAAGGATATGCGACCCCTACTGCTGGGACGCAGCAGAACCGGCACCAGACCAAAGGTTTCCTGGAATTAAAGGACCACATTCGGATTCGAAATATTAAGTGTTTGAAACACTAACCTTTTCGTGGAGACCTTCATAAACTTTATAGTAAAATTCATCGGGCATTCCGAGTAAGTCACGCAAGGAACCCATATGATCGCCACTCAACGAGCCGGCGCCCAAAACAATCTCCATATCGGCATAGTCCTTATCTGCATAATTTATTATGATTGCATGAAATATTCCCTAAATTTTTTTACCGACAAAAAATACCCACCAACTGTGGAGTTTGGCGTACGCACGAAAGCGAAGCCCTCTGCACCACCGGGTATTGTATAAGGTCCTCTACCCTCCAAAATATAGTGTAGTATATCAGTAGGATTTATTAGGCGGCGATCATTTAAAGTCTTTGTGTCATTCACCGTAAACACCAGACCATTCAGCGTCACGTGATCTTGTAGGTTATAACCCACTTGCAAGTCACGCATTACGGGAATGCCTAGCCCTGCCAAATGCTCACGCGGACCTATACCAGACAA